ACACTCGAGTGTGCTCCACCCCCTCGTCTTTACGTCCCAAAAATCACATATGCCAGCGTTTGAAGAATTATAACTTATAGGAATGAAGTAGATATAATATCCAAATAAGGATATATATATATACAACATATATTACCTACCCAAAAACGGGGTCGAAGCCTACCTATCTATAAACGACTAAAGGGGTTACTAAATATATATATTGGCGAGTCCAACCGTAAAGTGTAGTGCGCATGCTCGAACACAACAGGATAGGCGGAAAATGCAGCAACGGAGCACACGGAGCCACCACACACCCCCACAACACACACACACCACGCCCCCAAGACGCACGGGTCGAAACAAGCGCAACGAAAGGAAAAACAACCAAGCAAAACGAACAAAACAACCAAAACCAAACAAACAACCAGCAAAAGGGCAAACGCAAAAACAGAAGCAAGAATCAATCGAAGAGACACAGAAGACAACACCACCGAAGACAGCACACAGACAGAAACCCACGCCACCAAAACAGAGCCAAAAAAAAAAAACCGAATAAGTTACCGAGCCGAAACAGCGCTATCTGCTTAGGTTGCGACGGCGGCAAACTTCTAGCTTACGGAAGAACAAAGGCGTTGCCGCGTAACGTCACACCGTCCCTGTTCAATAGCGAGCAGCTGACTCGGTGCTTTCTTCGTTTCTGTACGTCAGACACCGAAGCTAAGAAGCACGCAGTGCGGTAACCAGATCGATAGGGATTAAAGAGAGCAGTCCGCGAGTTAAAAGTTTTACCGCTCGTGCATACGTCTAGGAAGTTTGTTAACGTCGAGAGCTGCTTCAGCAGTTTCTTTGAAGTTTTGAAATTAGTAAAGATGACGAGGTTCAGGAAATTAGACAGAAATTCGACAGTGGTGTCGCAGTTATTACTAACTGGTCTCAGAGCATCTTGGGCGGAGGATAATAAACAGTCGAGAGGAAGAGGAGCTAGGACTATCACGAAGGCAGTCATAAGAGTTAACTGTGGCAACAAGTCTGAGGAGTGATATGAGGTTACGGCCGAAAAATATACAACCGCTAGTAACCAACCGCGCCAGAAACTGTTACATCACGCATTTTTTTTTTACTTTACTTGGCCTGCCCGTGAGGACGCGTGTCCATGGGCGAAGATGCGACGTTTCGGTCGCCATTCTGCGACCTTCCTCAGGGAGCGTAATGACAGACCAAAGCTAAGTGACACCTGGGACACTTACAGCTGGCTGCCTCCACGAGCGAAGTTTTGCATACTCCAATTGCTGCATCTTGACCAGCAAGTTGTAATTCAATATATAAACTTCCACACCATATCACGTCATACATTACAATTTTTAAGAACTGTTTATTGAGAAGCAAATTAACATACAAATTTAAAAAAACTTGCTTGTAGAATCTACATCTCTTAAGCAACCAAACGATTTCAATAGCTTCATTAGGACATATCCGAAAAACAACCTGCTTTACTGTTACCTTCACCCACCCCTAATCCCCACACAGAAACTTACAACAATCATGCAGCCAATGATGAAATTAACCCTCATGGGACCTTGGATACCAGTATTTGCTAAGGAACATCAAAGAAATTTGAACCAACACTAAAGTAAGTTCTGAATATGGCGACCGAAACGGAGATCGCGAACACCTTCGCCAACAAAAGGGAGCGCGGCCATCCACTCGGGCAGCCAAGTAAATAACCGACTGTTTTACCCTGATTCTCTAATCTGGGTGTAAATCTTTCTCATACCCACCCAACACCCAAAATAATTCCTGAACCCCCCTGAGATTTCAACGCCCTTGATTCGGGCATGCTGAGTATAACGATACTCTGACCAAACCGGCCAAAACGACAGTAGCTGAGCAGGGGAACAGAGGGGAGAATAAGAGTAGACACTATAAGGCATATACGATTCATAAGCGCCCTATCAGTATTAACATTATATATATATATATACATAATAATAGCCAACGATAATAAATATATTATAAGAAATCCAGTGCAAAGCATAGGCGATTAGTAACTACATATATATACAGGTAGAGGGGGGGGAAGGATAAGCGTGGCTAACTACCCCTAGAGAAATACCACAAAACCCTCACAGAAAAACCGAGTATAAGTCGAATGTGAGCCCGAACGTAGGTGAAACAGGGTATACGAGCAAATGATCTCTCAAGGTTATATATACATAATAGTTAATAATTATACATGATAAAAAATAAACGAAGGCTCAAAATAGGATGATAAGTGAGATGACAGAAGTATAATACTAATAAGCAAAGGCTATACCACTTAATGATACTAATACAAGACTACATGAGTTAGTAAACAGCCGGGGTACCGACTGGTGATACTATGAGGACAAATAGTAGAGGTCAAGGAAGGCGGATTACGAAGAGAGGAAAACTGGATACAAATATATAGACCAATATATATATACAGGAATAAAGCACGCCGAGTCTAATGCGCACCCTCAGGACAGGAAGTACGTGAGATGAGATACCTAGGCTATAAATAATAAGGGAATATATATCCACACTAATAAGCAAGGTACATATAAACGATTAGAACAGGAGCATTGAACCAGTATAGCAGGGGCGGTAGCACGGACCTTGAGTCAATTACAACAAAGACAAATGGTATATACTGATATCGTGAAACACATAGGGGGTTAAGTGCGGCAAATAGAAACGTTACGGATGATGAACGACGATATGAAGAGATACCAGAAGAAAGATAGGTAGGGCTACTCTCTCACAAGTCAATTAGATAATGAACGAGGATTATATATACAGAAGGAGCCACGCTAGAGCTCAACTCAGCAATTAGATAACAGCTCAACAGAAGGAAAGGAGCCACGGGTGCTGGGGAAATATAACAAATACCGGAGCTCACAAAAAAAGAGGTAAGCATAGAACATGGTTATTTAGGGGGTTGAGAGACAAAAAGTATGAGTAATAGGAGAAATATACCCCGCCACTGGGTGGGCTGCAAAAGTAAAACGGCGGCCCGCCCGAGCGGTGGAGAAACGATGTAAGCCTACATAAGTAACGATATTAGATAACATAAGCAAAGATAGACTACCGTATATTACCAAGGATATAGAAAGTTAATATTACATACAGATGGCGGGCTACTAAAATATAATAATGTAACGACCCGTATAAAAACGGTAGTGAGAAAACTAAATGTAACATATAGGGCAGAGTCGAGGTATTGGAGCACGCAAGGGCGTATAACACTACAAAACCCGCGCCCGTATAGGCGGCCTATACAATATATATATATATATATAACAAAAGCGTAAAAAAAAAACACACCAAAACGTGAAATACTGACAAACAGAAATAGTTCCACCAGCTATATATATATACATATATTATATATATACTATAATAGTCATATTATACATTACTATATAAGCTATACATACAGTATATAATACAAATACACGTACGCACACTTATGACACCCTAAAGTAGTGCAGCTTCACCTAAGACGCTAACAATCCTAGCAGAGGGAAAATAATAGCTAAAATAAATGAAGGAGTGGATTCGACCCTAGCGCCGGCAAAGAAAATATATCACGCTATATCACCTATACAGGCGATAATTAGATACTGCACGAAAGAATCTCAGCAATAACCCGAATAAATACATCATATTATATGACGGGCACAAGCCGGTATACTAAAGCAAAGCAACCCTATATAGTATGTGGAGGGCGTCGCCCAAAAAAATAACCGCGTACCCGGTACCGAGTATGACAAAAAGCCTTAACAAGGACGGCAAGCCGTAAAATAGCGCCTATGGTAAGCCCATTCAGCTCCAAACGGAAAAGGAAAGCTCAAAAAGGGGCTCAATGGTCCAATAGCAATGCCTTATATAAAGTAGAAGAAGAGCCGTAACGAGTATATATATAGGGTATAAATTCAAAAGGATTGCTGGCATAAGACTCCCGGAGCAATACCCAATATGCTGGCCAATTTGAATCGGCCGAAAACACGGGCAGACTAAGCTGGAAGAAAATCGCCCCACAACAGGCTGATTGTCTAAAACTCTCCGAAAGTAAACAACATGAATGCGAACAGGGCGCGAGGAAACAAGAAAGTAAGGAGATGGCATAAGACTAAATCGGCGAAGGAACAACGGACCCCGAGCGGGAAAGAGACAAGACAACCGGCACCGGCCGGGGGGAAACACACAACTTTCTGCAGATTATACAATACTTAGGCTCCAACGCAACAAGGCCCAGACGGAAACCCGCACAGCCCAACGCGGAATACACCAAGCAAAGAGGGACCGAACAAAGAGGACCCGACGGACAACCCCCGCCCATGCGGCGGCCACTGACAGTAGCCCAGGAGGCCGGGAGACAACAGCGAGAAGTGAAGGTGAAAAAAAAAGGAATAAGGGTGTGGGGATTATGGAGTCAGCCTTTTGGTTGCATACCTTGGTTTAAGGACAAGGCTGTTAGCCTTGAAAATCAATTACATAACATACATACATTACAACATACATACATTTACATACCGACGTGTCCAGGGACCAACCGACAAACGCCGAGTAACACCAAAATCTAATCCATGGAGAAAAGTGACAGTTGCCCCCGCGGACTTCGGGCGACAAGGGGAGGGGTCAATCTCTATGAGAGGAGGAGAGAAAGGACTAAAGACATAGAAACCCACGGGGGTGGGCTTAAGAGGGAGCCCGCCCAAAAACACTACAAAGTGTGTGACAAACTTATAATTTCGTAATGGTGCTGTGTGATCTGCAATCAATCCAAGCTGTTAAAAGAAAAGGGCGCCCTGCCCACCAAACGGGTTATAATAAATTCTGTAAGTGCAGAAAGGGAAAAAAAAAAAAATGCTCCCTATGCTCCCCTCCTGATTTCCAAAGAGACGGAATGTGGGGGAT